TGTTAAGTTTATGGACCTTTTTTTTAAGTTAGACAAAAGAGATAACGTCACTTTATTTGAAATTAGGTCAACGAATAAAGTCACGGAATATATGTACCCATTGATGCGTATAAAGTGAATACATACTATAGTTATATATAACAAAGTATTTCGACAAATAGAACAAAGAACATTATCATTCGTAAAAAAAAAGAAATCTTACAGTTAATATAACGTCATGATATCAGGTCAACGCCATCTCACGTCAGATCAAACAACTTAGTAAATATCAAGATTATATATCTTATTGCAAATTCTTATTGCAAAAGTGTCTTATAAGCACGGGGTGACTACTTGTACGATGCACAGTAATATTACAAGGCGTGCAGAGCTTAAAAGTTGGGTAAGTGCCATGCAACGAAGAGGGTATCACTGGATTGCATAACAATTAACAAGGATAATAGCAACACGACAAAGTAATAGGTCACAGGAATATATATATTCCTAGGATCGAAACACAGCGAGAAATAGAAAAGAAAAGCCAAGAAAAGAACAAAAAATCATAGCGGGATTTTGAAATACTTTTTCAACGGAATCAACATTTATTTTTGGTGTTTCATTCTGTGATGGGGATTTCACATGTCTTTTCTGACTGTGGTTTTATTTCATTAATTTTTTTTTCCTGTGTCAGTGAATTTTTGTGTATTTTACGAGCTTTGCATCCGACTCGACGATATATGTGTAATATACTGAGCAATGAGAAGTGAAGATATGGAAGAGCTAATTTCAAACAAAGCAGAAATTGCAACAATACAGAGGTCATGCAATACTCGCATTCTGGTCAATATTGACTTTTGTTTCCACAGAAAATAACGCTTCAAATACTTTTAACAAAATAAGGACACTAGTATTCTAAGTTATACACTACTTTCATAAGTATGTATTTTCATTAAAATATAATCGTATTAATACACCAAAATGTATAACATATAAGTTCCCAAGACTACACATTTACCTTCTATAACGATGGTTAGCCTTTTAATACATTTCATTCATTATATTTTTTCCCTGTCATTCCCTTTTCCTTGTTCTTTGAACTACTATGCATTACTTTCCCAAATCATATAGAATTACATAAGATAATGCAGTATAACTAAGTACCTATGGACGTATTTTTTTGTATATTTTCATGTACTCATTACTTTGTACGTATCATGTATACACAGCATCATTTGTGGACGATTTTTCTTTCTTGTATTTTTCCAATATGCTTTCCAACTTCCTATGATTTCATAAGTTCATAAAATTGTACTTTAACTTTACTGTCTTCCTCGAAAACGACTTTTTACTTCACAGAAATTTTTAAAACTTTCGTCTATCTTGACTTTTCGTCGTTTCATATGATTAACGTATTTTTTTTTTCTCTTTTCTCTTATTTCTATTCGTTCGTTTTGGGAATTCCTTTCTTCGCCGAGTCATTCTGTATTCCAAGAAATTGCTGGAACGTATTAATTAGCAATTAGATATTCTGTGTCGTATTTGTGGATTTTGAATGCATGAGGTTTTATATGATTTGAAGAAGCTGTTTTTTGCTAGATGGATAGATAAATAGAGGTAGATAGTATAATACATACATGCATGCATACATAGAAAGGAAAAGATATATATATATATATATATATATATATATATATATATATATATATATGTATATATGTAGGTATATATATATGTATATATATATGTATGTATATTCATCTCCATCTCTGTCTATATATATAGATAGATAGACACGCACACACACACACACCCACATACACACACACACACACACACACACACACACACACATACACACACACATACACACATACACACACACACACACTCACATACACACACACACACTCACATACACACACACACACATACACACACACACACACACACACACACACACACACACACATACACACATACACACACACACACACTCACATACACACACACACACTCACATACACACACACACACATACACACACACACACACACACACACACACACACACACACA